TCTCTCTCTCTCCACATATATATATATATATATATATATATATATATATATATATATATATATATATATTTGTACATAGTTTCATTGCATTTAACTATAGTAATTAATTTTTGTTGATTTGAATAATCAAATGGAAAATTCCCACATTATCTAGGTGGTGAGAGTTGAGGATACACTTGTGACTTCTAACAAAGACCTATATCAAAAAAAATAATCGTTGCAGGCTCTTCTCTTATGTTAATAATTAAAAAAAAGAAAAACAAAAAACCATCAACAATCTATTATTGCATAAACTTCTTTTAAGCCATTTATAGAAAATAAAATAAATTGATTTTTTCTTGGAAGTTAAAATAAACTATTTTATAGAAACTATACCGTTTAATGTCTTAAAAAAGCTGATATATATATATGAGTAGTGAGTTGATTTTAACTCAGAAAACTCAATTAATTTTATCTTTTCTTTTTGTTTTTTTATAATGAAAAGTCATAGATAGTATCACTGGAGCAACAATTGCTTGAATTAAGCCAAGAAATTGTTTCTGATCATAATGATGAAGAATTCCCTTTTCTGACAACCAAAATTGAAAACCAGGGAACTGTGCTAAAACCAGACTGACGTATAACATTAAATGCGATCATCAAGAGTAAAGAGAGTTTATCAGTGTATAGTACTAGTATGTATAGTGTTGTAGTAGGCCAAGACCCTATTAATTTGTTTACACTTGTAAACTGTTTATTTAGTTGTAACAATGCATTCTATACATAACTACATATATATAACATGCAAGCAATGCAACAATGAAGAGAATCATTTTCTTTTATCAAGGCCTGGAAAAAGAAGCATCTCTTGGCAAATCAAAGGGGCTCCAATTACCTATTAACAAGTCTGCATCATGAACTTCAGGTCCAAGTAGTGGCAATTGTGTGACTTGATGAAATGCATGATTCATCATCATCTCAGAGTTTGACCACATCATATGATCATGTGAGGCTTCCTCTTCACCCGGCAATGGTGGCAGCTCAAAATTCATAGCACCACCATGACTACTACATTGTTCAATTCCATCCTTTTGAAGAATCGGCATAGAGTTGAACTCGTTAGGGCACATTTGGTCATTGTTATTACCCTCAATAATGGATGGTTGTTCAGGAAGCGTCAAACACGCAGTAAGACCAAGTTCTTCAGGCAAAGTACTTGGACCAACTTCTAGAGAAGGATCAAAAACTGTTTGAACTTGATCTGGATTACCCTCAAGCTCATCAGCTTCAGATTTGGGCTTTTGGTTGAGGAAATTTGCATACACTAGGGCAAGATCAATATTAGGTCCGTCACTCATCACTGAGGAGGAGCTAGAAGCTGAAGAATTCCTTATTCTAGGATCATAAGAATGCCCAACAGGGTTATTATTATGATCTGTGGCACGGTTACTAGGTGAATTTTTGAAAGTGAAACCATCAATGGATTGTCTCAACAAGGTCTTGTTACCTCTTCTGTTTTTTCTGCAACCACCACCTACAGGCACATTGCGGAGAGACCCTCCTTTCGTCCAGTACCTTCTGCATCCCTTGCAAAAGTACCTTGGTTGAGTTAAGCTGTAGTTGTTATAGTAGCAGAACTTGGTGTTGGAAGAACCACACCTAGGACAATTTGGTGATATCTCAACCTCAGGTTTCCACCCACTCTCCATCGCCACAAAGCTGCATTCAAGGTTTTAAATTGCAATCACAGTTGCGAGTTTTGTCGCATTCCTTGATATTGTAGACAGATGTTGCTGATGTAATCACAATTGCGATATATGTTGTTGTATCAGACACACCAAAAATCTTGACGTTGCGAATAAAATTGTATTTTAAAACCTTGAGCATTTGTTTCATAAAAAATACACACCCTTTTTGTGTGAGATCTAGAGAGGGAAATTTCAAGAGAAGGTGGTAATGCTAATTTGCTAAAGAGTGGGGTTATATGTGGTACAAAGTGAAGCTTGAGGTCCCAAAGCACATTTGAGTGTTGGGGTTAGGTTTGTTTTGATGCACATGAGATGATGGATATGATGGTCTTGGGAATGTGTATGCACCCCATGCACATGAGGATGCATGGGGGTAGGTAAGGCTGAGAATGTGTCACACCCCCGAAGGCTAATACAGGGTGTCGGTGCTGAGGACACGTGGCATGACGGAATTGGTGGTGATGAGGGTAAGTGGGGAAGCAAAGCCATCGATAGCACCATTTCAAGTTTCTTTCAACAGCAGACAACATAGATATGAGAAGCACATTCCCACGAAAGGGTAGCATCGATCCCAACCCTACTCTTCCCTCACCACTCAATGCTGATTCAAAGTAGTTAGTGGAAAGTCACATGTTTTCACAGCCATTCCATTTTTGTGAAAGAAAATTTTAATGCAGAGATCGATGGCTGATATACTATGTTACACATGATGTACTTGATACGGAAGGCACTCTTTAGAGGAAAAACTATATCTCTACTATCACGTGGATCCTCTCATGGTGAACGATTGTTCCAGCTTAATTAATCAACGATTTCGGGTTTTAGTTCTGCAACTGTATTAAATGCTCGAAAAGAGAATTTTCATAATAGTAATTTAAACAAGATGGTTTCTGATAAAAGATACGTGTGTTCTTAAAAGAATGTATATTATCACTGTTTGAGGGGGGAAGTTCTACCTTGCTACATAAGGCAAACCTGGCTATATCTCAAACTACAACTATAATTGGAGTTTTTACATACCAACTTTTTTATGGAAAAAAAAAATAGTGTCCAGGCATAACTAATAACATTTACCTGTACCTGATACATACCAACTAGTTGAAATCATCGTAATTTTACTTTTCTAAAATGCAAAATTTATAACAGTTGGATTCAATCATCCCTATCAGTCAATTCATTTTCAGGGAACCTTTGTGGAGCGTAATTAGTACTATATAATTCATTTATTTTTTTTTGGGTGATTCCTGTATTTTAAGTTATTTTTAATTATATTGTCGGTATAAAATATTTATCAATTTTATGATAATTAATTTTTATCGAGAGAATTTAGCTATTCATCTAAGTCTGTCTTCACAACTATATGATTGTTTAAGGTAAACTATATATATATACTAAAACTAAGCTGATGTATAACACAAGTTTTGCTTCGGAAGGGTTGTTTGTAATTAAATTGATATTTGTTATTTGTACCTGTCTGAAGGGTACACTGGTAATCTTCTCGTACTCTGAGAGTCGAACGAGAGTTTCAATCGAATATTTCGGTGAGGGGAATATACCTGCAAAAGGCACTTCGACGCTCAAGTCAGGACAAACACAGATATCGATAGTAATTAATGAACAGTGACGTTACCTCGTGACATGAGCTATTTATACTAACACTGAAGGGCCCTGCTGCCACAGGGTTACCATATTAGGTAATACGCCTCTAATCGGCTTATTGGTGTGATTAACTCTTAACTCCTGATTAGGAGTAATCTTTAACCCTTGATTAATGATCTGAGTTGTCTTCAGTGGCCGATCAACCGTCGGCTACCTGGTCTGGCCATTCAGGTGCCGATTGGACATCGACTACCTGGTTTGGCTGTTCGGATGCCGATTGGGTATCGACTACTTGGTGGTCGAATGACCTTACTAGTACATTATTGTTTTGGGAATTTTATTACAAAATATAGGTATAAAAAAGCAACTGAAACAGATATTTTTCCTAGTCCTAGCTACTTTCTTTCATCTGCGTGTTTAGAATTGAATTTTAACTTATTTTCATCTGTATTGGCTAATAATGTTTTAATTCAATGATGCAAGGTAAACTTTCTTTTTTATTTTTTCATAATCCTAAAGCTGAGATGCTACTTATATTTCTCTCTATTCAAGTTCTTTGGTCTGCAATTTGGAGGTCTGGCTGTCACTTGTGCAAGAAAGAGGCACATGGGAGCTAAGTATATTAGCATTTGCTAAAGAAAGAATGTCTCTTTCAAGATGGTGATGAATTTTTCGTTGACTCTTATTTCTTGGATCATGGGCTTCTCGGATCATGCAAATCTAAGATTTTCATCAATATTCCCAAAATACTAGTTTTCTAAATGAATATAATTTAATTTACTTGTTTTGAATATTCCTAAAAGGTCTCCCACGTTATAGGCTTATGACGCGAAATACATAATCAGCTAGAGGAACAAGAGCTGCCTCGAAGCGTTCGCCATGTAAGAATATGAAATTCTGAAATATATATGTTCAAAATATTGAAAACGATATCTCAGCAATTTTTATTATTAGTAATAGTAATAATTTTTTAAAAAATTCATATGAGCTTTACATTAAAGTATCTATAAAAGAGAAATCAAATAAAGTATTCTTGAAATATCAATATTAGTTGTTGTAAATTAGTTTTACACAAACGCCTTTTCTCAATTTTCTATATATCATATTCAATAGGTAAACATTGGTAGTTAGTTTAACAAGGAAATGAAAAAGTTTTTTTTTAATCTAGCAAAGGAAAAATATATTCAAAAAGGGGTAAAAGGAGCCATATACAAACATACAATATGTTTGTACTCACTGCAAAACTTTCAAGCAATGCATAAAGAATCATAGACCAATTAGAAAAAATCTTGGCCGTTAATTACCGCAACCAAGATCTAAATTTAACGAGTTTCACTTTGACATTTGCAAACTCTCTTTAGAAGAGAATATTGTTTCCCTTTGTTAGACCATACCAAAAACAAATCTAGCTTACTTTTGTGTAGGGATGTAAACGGGTTGTAGTCAACCCATGAAATTGACTAATTCAACTCAAACTTAATCACATTTTGATAGGTTTGATTGAGTTGGATTGAACATTTTATTACTTAACCCAATTACAATTGAGTTGGATAACTGGTTAAAGGATTTGAAATCCGATCAATCTAACCTAACCTAAAATAATTAAAAAAAATGTTAGTTATTTAATATACATGAGATAACATGTGGAATTAGAGACATACATTATATATTAGTTAAGACTTAAGTTAGTAGTCTAATATATATTTAATTCTATTACATTGAACTATAGATATATGATAAATCAATGGGTTAACTTGCCTATCTCACTTAAGGTAGATTAGGGCAAGTTGACTCATTTTTCCATCCTTAAAAGATAGTGAGATTGTGAAGTGTTCATGAATCTCAAATATGGATTTTGCATGAGTCTACACTAAGTGTGGGTGTTTCTATCCTAAGTGCTAGACTAGAACTGTCAAAACGGGTCACCCGGCCCACCACGGGTTGACCATTTGGTGGGTCAACTCAACCTGACTCATTTATCAGTAAGCTCAAAAAAATCAAACTCGGCCCGACCTACCACAGGTTGGTGGGTTAAACGGGTTGGCTCACCTTAAAAAATATATTGTTTTTTTCATCTTTTTTTCCTTAATATACAACTAAAGCCCAAAAAATTCAAACCTATTTTAAAAATCTGAGATTCTTAATTAAGATATCCATAAATGAATCATTCATCCCAAACATTAAATGATAATTTTAAATACAATCAAATCAAATCTAAATAATCTCAAATAGATAAATATAATCCAAAATCATCTTAAACTTCAAATATAATCCAAAATCATAAAAATTACAAATCACAATCCAACATCAAATCATTATTGTCTCATGTTAGGTTGCACCATGGCCCAATAATTATTATTTTTTTTAATTTTTTTTAATCACGGGTTGGTGGGCCAGCCCAGCTCACCACAGGTTCAACCCGGGTGAGCCGGGTTGTTAGTGAGCCGGGTTCAAAATTGACCCACATTGAAATTTTCAATTTTTTTTTCAACCCAACCCGGCTTGAACCCGTGGTGGACCGAGTTGGCTCACCGGGCCGAACCCATTTTGACAGCTCTACGCTGGACTCCCAAAGGAATAGGATGTCTCTATTCTTCTTGTGCAATGTTCAGCAAGAGTATCACTAAGTGCAAAAGTCACATAGAGTATTTCCCTTTTGGATGCTAAGCACATTAGGATGTATTTGTTGGAGTTTCATGAGGTAAATTTTCAAAAAAAATTATTAAAAAATCTTATAAGCGGAATAACCTATTTTTCACACACTACCAATAACCACACTAAAGGTTTAAGATTTTACCTTTTGGAGCATTTTTTAATAATTTCCATTGAACACTCTTTGATTAAGGAACAACAAGCCTTTTGATGATCAAGCACCAAAAGTATGGTGCCTCTACTCAATCCACACGAGTAACACTCACTACAAAAAATATGCAATTTAGCGACCACCAAAATCGGTCGCTAAATTGCAAAAATCGGTCGCTATTTACCTTAACGACCGAATTTAATCAATCGCTAAGCTATTTAGCGACTGAAAAATTTTCGGTCGCTATTTAGCGACCGAAATTTTTGGTCGCTAATTCGGTCGCTAAATAGCGACTGAAAATTTCAATCGCTAAATGGTTGAGATGATTTTGGTCGCTGAAGTATATGGGACCAAATTAGTGACCGAATAAATCGGTCGCTAAATCGGTCACTAAATATTTATTTTTTATTTTATTAAATTTTATAGACGTCGCAAATTTGGTTTCTATGAACCACTCATATTTGGCTTCTTAAGGATTTTATTTCACAATAGTTAAGTTTGTAGCATGTTATGTCCTTAATTACATAATTTTTGGAAACTTCCTAGAAGGTCACCCATC